GTCTCCCCTACCAGTTCATAGCCTCTCCATCATCAAGACTTCTGCAGTGCCTCCTCGTGGCCACCTATGGTAACTGGCACCTTGCGGTCCTAGGCTGAACTGTAGGGGATCTCAGAGCAGCAGGAGGCCCCAGAGGTACAGGGTCATGGCCCACCGGCGTGTGGACACGCCCTGGTCCTGTACTAACTCCTGCCCCTAAGCCCTCTGGGGTCAATGGGAGGCTCGGGGGAGGTGGGCCTTGCCAGTCCTCCTCCCCCCAGAGGATAACCCACTGGCAGTGTTTTGTCTAAATGGAAATGCTGGAGGAGGGGAAATGTACCTCCTACCCAGCGAGAGAGGCGGGCTGCAGGCCCCGTTGGGAAGGTGGCTGCTGGGGCGCAGGATGGGAACGGGAGCTCCTCGTCCCGCCTGCGTTCTGGCAGCCGCCAGCCTGATATGAAGCTTGTGGGGCAAAGCCCTAGGGAACCCCACAAGTGGATGATGGGTCCCGCAGCCTGCCGCCTTTTAGGTGGGGCAGCATCGGCGGGGGTGGCAGAAGTGGCGTCCACCCGGAGCGACTGCCCGAGGGTTAACCTCAGGCAGGAAGTCAGGGTGGGGGCTTGGAACGTCCGATCTTTGCGTCAGGTTAATCGTTTGCCCCTGCTATCGAGGGAACTGGGGAGGCCGAGAGTAGGGGTGGCTGCTCTCTCGGAGGTGAGGAGACCTGGGAGCGGCACGATCAGTGTAGGTGGCTACACCTATTACTGGTCAGGCCGCAGCGATGGTCACCATCATCAGGGAGTAACCATAGCTGTCTCCGGTAGGCTCCAGCCCTCGGTGGTAGAGGTCACTCCAGTCGATGAGCGTATAATGGTAATGAGATTGAAGCTGTCTTTTGGCTTCATGTCTCTTATTGCTGTGTACGCTCCTACCGATGTTTGTAAACTTGACGTGAAAGAGATGTTATACGCCAAACTTGCATCTGTGGCAGACAGTTGTCCCCGGCGAAATATTCGTATTGTTCTGGGTGACTTCAATGCGGTATCTGGCTGCAATCGAGCTGGCTATGAGATGTCAGTCGGTCCTCATGGTTCGGGAGTTGATACCGGCAGCGAGAAATCCCTCCTTTTCCGGGATTTTGCAAGATCCCAGAAATTGAGGATTTCTGGCTCCTGGTACCAGCGCCCAGACCCACATCGTTGGACATGGTACAGCGATGTGGGTAATGCAGCCAAGGAGATCGACCACATTCTCGTTAGCACTCGTTGGAGGATCCTTCAGAACTGCAGGGTGTATAGGTGCCGAGTTTTGTGGTACTGACCATAGATTGGTTGTGGCTACCCTCCGTGTTCACTTCAAAATTCCCCAGCGGCCCAATGACCACCCTAGGGTGTTTCATCTGGACAGGCTGAAGGAGAGGGAGTGTGCTCGGAGGTTTGCTGAGACAATCTCTGATTGGTTCACAGCGCTTGACAATCTGACGGACCCTGTACTTCTGTGGGACACCTTCAAGTGTGAAACGCTTGATGCAGCCCAAGAATCGATTGGAGAACGCCCGAGAGCAAGACAGAATTTAATTTCTCAGGAGACACTGGAAGCCACAGATGCTTGCCGTGCGGCTTGTCTGGCAGGGGATCGGGATTTGCACCGTTCTCAGGTGCACAGAACTCGGTCTCTGTTAAGAAAGGACAAGGAACAGTTTATTAGGAGTCTTGCTGAGGAAGTCGAAGGCCATTTCTTAGTCAATGACCTTCGTCCTGCATACCAAGCCCTGAGAAAACTGAATTCCAAGCCCTCTTCACAGGTGACTGCAGTTCGCTTAGTAAGTGGCCAGATCGTCTCAGATCCTGTTGTGGTGCGGGAGCGTTGGGCTGAGTACTTTGAGCAGTTGTATCAGGTTGACCCTCCAACAGTTAACTTGGATGTGATTGCGTTGCCGGACCCACCCATTAGCGAGGACCCTACCTCCCTAACTGAAGTTAGGGAGGCGATCTCCAAGCTGAAGAGTGGTAAAGCAGCGGGTATTTGCAGCATCCCAGCTGAACTGTTAAAGGCTGGTGGTGAACCTATGGCGCGGGGATTGCATGCTGTCCTGGCTGCCATCTGGCAGTCTGGTAACGTTCCCTCTGACCTGTTGAGGGGTGTGGTCATCCCTCTCTGGAAGGGGAAGGAGGACCGATGGGACTGCAGCAATCACCGCGGCATCACACTGCTCAGTGTACCAGGCAAGGTTCTTGCCCGCATCCTTCTGAGGCGTATTAGAGATCATCTACTAAGGCATCAGAGGCCAGAGCAATCTGGGTTCACTCCTGGTAAATCCACAATAGACTGTATCCCCGCGCTTCGAGTCATTGTAGAGCAACGTCGTGAGTTCGGACGTGGGCAGCTTGCAGCCTACATCGACTTCAAGAAGGCGTTCGATGCAGTGCATCGGGAATCACTCTTGGAGATCCTGAGACTGAGAGGAATTCCAATAAGGATTAGTGAACTAATAGCAAACCTGTATACTGGTACAGAAAGCGCTGTAAAATGTGGTTGGGGCCTGTCGAACTTCTTTCCTGTCAGTTCAGGAGTGAGGCAAGGCTGTGTTCTTGCACCAACACTTCTCAACACCTGTATGGACTGGATACTAGGCAGAGCTACTGTTCAAAGTCATTGTGGAGCAACACTGGGTAATATTAAGGTTACAGACCTTGACTTTGCCGATGATGTTGCTATTCTATCTGAGTCTTTGGAAACTCTAGTGGTGGCTCTCAATGCATTTAGTTATGAAGCGAAGCCCTTGGGTCTAGAGGTCTCCTGGACCAAGATCCAGGACTTTGGGGACTTGCTAGGAGAACCTGTTCGGTCAGTACGTACTTGTGGTGAGGTCATTGAAGTCACAGAGACCTTTATATACCTTGGTAGTGCAGTTCATAACTCTGGGCTGTCAGACCAGGAAGTCAGCAGACGGATTGGCCTGGCAGCAGGGGTCATGAACTCTCTCGACAAGAGTATTTGGAGATGTCGGTACCTGTGCAGAAGGACCAAGCTTCGGGTTTTCAGGGCCCTGATAATGCCAGTTTTGCTCTACGGTAGTGAAACCTGGACATTATCCAGTGCCCTGGAGTCTCGTCTTGATGTCTTTTGTAATAGGTCCTTGCGCCTGATCATGGGGTACTGTTGGCGGGACCACGTATCTAACCAACGGTTGCACCATGAGACTGGCACAGGACCTGTTACCTGCACAATCCGGGATCGCCAACTCAGGCTATATGGCCACCTGGCTCGCTTTCCACAGGCTGATCCTGCCCATCAGGTTGTCTCTGTAGGAGACAACCCTGGGTGGAGGAGGCCTGTGGGACGACCTAGGAGGTCGTGGCTTGGGCAGATCGATCAAACCTGTCTGGAAGAGCTCGAGATGGGCCGGGCCCCTGCCTGTCGACTTGCCATGAGGGATCCCAAAAGGTGGACGCGGCTATGCGCCCCCGTCGGCGTTAGCTCCGGATGATGATAATGATTTTGATAATGAAATAATAGTAATATTTACAATGAGAATGAGAATGGAAATAATGATAATGACGATGATGACAGTAAGAATGGTAATAAAAAAAATATATGATAATATTAATTTTACCTGCGTGATCTTTGATTTTATTCTTAATGATTAATCGTTTTTTCCCTCCCAGTATTATTTAAGCTGGTGGATACCATATCCTAACCTCATATAAATCAAAATCTAATATATCAAGCATAACATAAGCACATCACACCTCAAAACCATTTTTTTATCAGAAATTCAAAACCATTTTCCGTAGACTGAAACCTATTTTTACCCTTCAGTGAAAATCATCAATTATTCAAAACCAATTCCATAGAATGAAACCTATGTTTACCTTTCTGTGCAAATCGTCAATTTTTCAAACCCATTTTCATCGTAGAATGAAACTATTTTTACCTTCGAGTGAAAATCATCAATCATTCAAAACCAATTTCCGTAGAATGAAACCTATTTTTACCTTTTGTAAAATGTCAATATTCAAACCCATTTTCCGTAGAAAGAAACCTATCATACCTTTTAAGCGAAAATTATCAATATTCAAACCCATTTCCGTAGAATGAAGCCTATTTTTACCTTCCAGTGAAAATCATCAGATATTCAAACCCATTTTCTGTAAAACAACAAACCCAATTTAACTTTTCTTTGACAATTACCATTTATTTCAGGTTTGGTAGGCGAGGAGGGGACAGCGCCTGTGGTCGTTCACGTGGCCAGTCGCGTTGGGCTGCCGGTGGAGGAGGTCACCTTCGCCAAAGCTCTGTCTGCTGCGAATTACACCACAGCCGCTGTCGGTGAGCCTCGGGCGGGATGGGTGGTCGTGTGGGTGGAGTTTATCTGTCTGGCTTGCTCTGTGGCTCTGTGTCTGTGTGTGGCTTTTGTCTGGCTCTTTCTCTTGGTCGGTCTCGTTCTGGCTCTCTCTTTCTCGGTTGGTTTCTGTTTTCTCGGTCGGTCTCTGTCTCTCTCTGTCTCTCTCTCTTCTCTTCTACTCTCTCTCTCTCCAGTAGATTTGTTGTAAATGCCCTATCGTCTTGGTCTTTTTTTTTTTTTAACTTCTTGTGCTAAAGTTATCTTAAGGAATATTATGACAAAACACTCTACTTGTTAATACATTGGCAGAAAAGCCCATTATGTGGATAATATTGTTGTTATTATAGAGTGAGACAACTCGGGTTTTTTATTGGCAAAAATCCACAGCACGGAAACTATTTGTTATTATAGAGTGAGACAACTCGGGTTTTTGATTTTATGTTTTTTTTACTTTGTTGTTATAATACTAATGAATGGTGATGATAATAATGATAATGATAATAATGATAATGATAATGATCTTAATGATAATGATAATAAGGATGATGATAATAATAATGATGATAGTAATACTAATAATTATGAAAATTATATCAATAATGATCACAATAATAGTAATAATAACGAAAATATGATAATAGTAATGTAATGATTATTACTAGCAGTAGTAATA